TTGAAGTAGAGTGACCATTTCTTGCCCTCCTCCCTTGTCTACATGATTCATAAAATAACACTTCAAATATTGAGATCTGATTGATCAAAGATTTTTTTTAAAGTGTCGACCTGCAGCAATGAAGAATAACCATTTGTGTATGGATCAGACACAGAAGTTTAATTAAAGGTGAGTTTTACACATCACTCCAACAAACTGAACCACCACTGACCCATGGGTGCTGATCCATGTAAACATTCTCCAAGCTTTTTTAATTTCAACTCATTAAAACATTCCCTCCCTTAACACCCATACCTACAAGATGCTGGATTTAATTTGTCCAATTTTGTGCGAGGTAGACACAGACAGAAAGAAGTAAGACCAGCAATGGTCCCAAAGACTATAAAGGGATCAGAGCACAATCCATCCATTCTGCTCCAAAGGTCAGGTCTGCAACAAGGTCCGGGTTGCAGGACTCTGAAAACAATGAGCTTCTTCCTCTTTACATTTTCATTGCAGGATTATTTAATGTTTTATTTATTACTTGGATGATATACAAAATGTTGCAGAGGGTTGGCAGTTACCTTGGAAGGGCTGTGAGCATTCTGGGAAGCAGAGTTCTACTTGAAAAAAGTGGGACTAAATGATTAACAGAACTGAAACCAGAGTTTTAATACTGAACTTCTAATACTGATTTTTCAAAAACTAAAAATAATTCAAATTTTTGATGATAATAATAATAGGAGCACTGTATGCAAAAGATGGTAAGATTCATTCTGTTCATCACTGATTAAGGTTGTATATGATGTTTAGGTCTCAATACAGAAACAGGAAACAAAAGCTCTGAAGAAAAACCAAGCAATCTGGGAGAGTTAAACAGGCTTGGTGAGTACAAAAAAAAAAGATGAGTAGAGAAAGAGGGCGCAGGCTTCAAAATAGGTTACAAGCAATTACAAGAATCATGTCCCACTACTGCAATATCCACAGCAGAACAAGAAAAAAAAAAAAGAACCAACTCAAGAAGCTTAACATGTTAGAAAAAAAAAATTAGAATAGTATTAGAGGAAATATGCTACCTCCAGGGATAGTTAAACAAGGGATTAGGTTATGGAGGGGTTACACAAATCTTCACTGATTGTTTTTAAGACCTGGTTAGAGGAACATGTCAGAAATGGCCTATACATATCTATCTTTACACTGAGCTGTATGCTCACACATTCAGTGCAGAGCGATGACCTCCAGAGATCCACGTTTTCTTTGCTAAACTTAAAGGCTGCACGAGTTTAGGTTCCTGCCAGGAGACTCAGCAGGTGACCTGACTGCCCCTTAGAGCTCCAAGCAGGCTTTTGATATCTCTCTTTTCTAAATAGCCAAGGCAGGCTGTGATTGACAATCTTCCCTCACATCAAGCATGCTACCTTAAATGTGAAGGACTCTGAATGATTCACCGGGGAAATAAAGTCAAAGTACAGAGAAGAAAATGGCAACTGATCCCAGGAATCCCATCCTGAGAAGGAAATCACAACTGCCCAACTGGGCAAGGATGTGCACATCCCATTAGTACCTAGAGCTACAGGTAGTTATATTTTCTTTTCTAGCACCTACAATAAATAAGCCTTAATAAAAAGCAGTATTTAACAAAGTACTTAGAGAAACAGGGAGGGAAGGTTTGACGTTTCTAAGCTTATTTTCACAGTGGTATGAAAGGAAATGAGGTAGAGTCAGAGCTAATTCTCCTTATATAATTTCACACAGAATGATTAGTTCTGCCCCAACAGTAACAGCTTTCCAGAGGGTCCTACTTGTCTCCAAGATTGCATACAGATGCTCTAAGTGTAGCTCCCCTATTCTCCACTGACAACCAACTTAAAAGGCCAATATAATATTCATTTTCCTACAGAATGAAATTCACAGTGTGAATAGTAAAATAACGTCACAGCTACCATGAAACTGCAGTTCCATGTTGGGGGTTGCGACTTTTAAAAGTTTAATTGTGAAATGGATTCACAGAGAGGCACATGCAAAGCCTCCTGGAGCTTTAGGTGTGTCCCCTGGTCACCAGGGACATCCAAGAGCAGCACAAGCTGTGGCTGGACAACAAGAGGGCAAAGGCACAGAGGAGGAGCATTTGTGTCACATGCCCTGCTGGATTTTTTCCCTTTAGAAGGCAGGTTTCAATCATTCCTGTGTTAATGCTCCCCCTCTCTTAAGCCTGATTAGGAAAGACATTCCACATGCTGAAGGTGGTGGAATTCCTAAGTCACCTGGGTCGCTTCTGGGTGAAATAACAATTACTGGTAATTCACTGGAACAAGGCCTACAAAAAAAGAAAGCCCTAAAAGACACCCCCTCAGCCCAATGGTGAACATATCACATGGATAATCCTAAAACTCTTTGCAAAAACTTGTAATAGGTATTAGTACTTTTATAAAGCACTGCAGTGCTTTGTGTTTAATCCTTGAATAGACACTAGTAGAAAAGCCATATTCAATTCCAAAATTGCTACTGCAAATTCCAGCTCAGCTACTACTATTCCTTTAAAAACATACAGGTTTGTAAAGGATATATACAAATATACATAACAGTAAATTTAACTATCAATGAAGAACTTAAATCACACCCCAAAACATCATGCAAAATAATATTATAAGAACCTTAAATGTGTGTATCTTGCAGTTTTTAGCACAACCATTTGTTTTACAAAAGACCTACAGATTAAATACAAAGCACACTATTAGTTATAGGCACAAGAACGACCAATTTTTTATGCCTTGCCAGAAATAATGACTAATTAGGCCAGCACCACCCTGCAGTCATTTCCATAAATCTTGCCTTTATGTTTAAATCACAACAAAAAGAAAACTGACTTAGCAACAACAAGAGCATATTTCTCATTAAAGTTTTCTTAAAGCAAGATCGGGACAAGAAATTATTCTCTGAAGTCAACAAAACAATGTTACTGTTTATCTGGAGAACTTTAACTCAAACCAAGCACAAAGTTACACTCAGAAATTTGCTGTATTAAACTGCAATCCAGTAGTCAGACAAGGAAATTGGGAACACTTTCAACTGGGAAATCACAAAACACGGAATTTCACAGAATCCTGATGGATTTCTTCTTTTGCAAAGTCATCTCACAGCTTATTCCTTGTGTAAACCTTGAAAAGAAACGGAATATAAAAGACGCAATATGTTCAACTACTTGTTGAATTTTTGTTTTCTGGCATATTTGTATGTAAAGTAAATATCAAAGCAGAAAGATATGTAGGAAATATGATGCTGAGCATCAGATGAAACGAGAAGTTGTACTTCAATTAAGATTTTACTTTTAAAATGATGGTGTTTCTGAGAAATCACTTGTTTAATTATATGCACCAGGCAAGATATTTATAAAAACACCTTATTTTCACTATGCAACAGGGACTTTATTTCTATATTATTTACAAAGGTGTCACCCAGTAAATAAAATAAACCCCAATAAAACAGAATCAAGATCTATACAGTCAAATACTCCATAATAATGTAATTCATGCAAGGCTTTGAGGTTGTTTTTCCCTCTCCAAACCAACCTGGTTGGAAAGAAGAAGAAAAAGATATTTTTCCAAGAGCTGGTCTAGAAACAGAGTGCTTGCTCTTCTTTCTCCCAAATATTCTGCCACTACAGTCCCACACCATCACTGCTTTGGCTAATCATCCATTCCGAGTTTCCAGCATTCCCAAACATTTACTCTTGCATGCACAAGGGTTTGACATTCTCCAAGTGCTCCCATACAATGGCTTTACAACACTTCTGTTTCTACTATGAACATTTTTATTAGGTTTTTCGGAGGATGAACCAAAATTCTCAGTTCTTGAGAGAAATAACTCATGGCAACAGCGAGGTCTCCATCCTTCATTCCAACATGCTTGACCACTGAATCCTGCCAGGGTGAGTAATGCCCAACATGGGACATGGATTCCATCCCAGAGAAGGAATAAAGCAGTGCATCATATTAAATCTGCATCCAATTACTTAGGCCTGAACTTGAGGGGTGTGTTTTTCCCTCAATGACAGCTTCTAAAAACGATTGTGAAAGAAATCTTGCACTTTGGATGGTATTTTATTCATCAAGACCACGATCACCACAAGTTTTCTGCTGCCAGAGGCATGGCCAAAGTAACCTTTTTAAGAACTGCTGTTGTAGCTCCAAGAAGAAAACATTCCCACGGTATTTATGGCAATATCATACTTGTCCCATTGAGCATCACTAACACAGACAACCTGCTGCACAAACAGGCATCTGACTGCTCAAAAATAAGCTTGGAACAAAACTGGAAAATAGCACGTGAAGCCACACTGTTGTAGAGCTACAATGCAGATGTTTTCAGATGCAAAACTGGTTAAATTCCCCTTTTTTCGGTCACACTGACATTAATTTTTCCACCGATTTTCCATAACAATTCAGCAAAACCACAACACTCCAGCAAAATTAAGTTATGAAGAACGTATTTAATCCAGTTGCATCTGAAGTGCCAAGAAGAAAACTTCTGCTAATCACATACATATTAAATTTTTCATGTTTGATTATATGTAAACCTACACACACACAAATACCCAAACTGAAGTTGCTTATACAGCATTAACTTGGGATTTGTGTGTCTCAACTGTTTGTGTTCTTTGTTTCAACCCTAAAAAAACAATTATTCAAGGGGCAAAAAAACCAAACCACACTCAGTGCCTGTTTACCTCCAACTTCTGCATTTCATCATTAATGTTACACAGTTCATTGTTAATTTTAGACATTCCTCCAGCTCTCATTCGGACATCAAAGAGCTGCACATACCCAAAATACCAGCAATCTGAAATCCTGACTTCCCTACTTACTAAATAAATGACTAAAAGTCATTTATAACTTGAAAATATCTTTGATTTCTTGCCTACAGGAAATACTACCGATCAAAAATAAAACATATATATATATATGCTCCCATATACCCATATGAGTGGGGTCCAGTTTTGGGATAATAGACTGTTGGGAGACATGGTTTGCAGATTTATATTTCATACTCTGGTGCTTCACACGTTTATTTTTACTTTCACATCTGACGTGCAGCAATATGGCCAGCGAAGGTGCGCGTTTAAGACATCCTTTGATATAAATCCATGGAGAAGTGAAATTCACACTGGGATTCGTGTCCTTCCAGCACTCAGGCACTGCTTCCCCACTGCTAACTGCACCACTTACGGATGGCTGGGGGCAGGCTGCCTCTCCACAGCCCCCTGTTAACAATTCTGCCACCAAAGATTAACATGATTTTCCTGCTTTACAAACTTAGTAGAGTGCATTTCTCACTCACAAATGGGGGAAAAAAACCCATGATAGCCATTTTTTTTCCAAAGGAATCCTAACATGTATTTAGAGTTTGTTCTTCAATTTTGCAATTCTTTTGGATTAGAAGTAATAGTAAATTATACAAGTAATCCCAGACAATGAGATACTTGCTCTGTTCAAGTGAGCAAATCATTTGCCTTTGTTTTTTTACTACTCCCACTACACAGCAGCTCATGTCTCAAGCAGTGGCACACAGAGGCCCTAAAACAGAAGAGTCAACATTAAGGTCCTGTTATTTATACCAGTATCATAGAACAGAATCATTAAATACTTCGGGTAAGAAGGAACCTTAAACACCATCTAGTTCCAAACCGCTGCAAACCTTCCACTAGCCCAGGTTGCTCCAAGTCCCATCCAGCCTGGCCTTGAACACTTACAACAACTAAACACTCATATCACTAAAAGCCAAACCTCAAAATATATTTTCAGCATATTTCCTTACACCAGAACACAATTCTGTTCACACAGGTACACATATATGTTTCTTCTGAGCACACAGTTTAATGATCCAATTCTTATAGGAACAGCGGTTAACTCAGTTATTTAACCAGGGAACATCTCAACTCCTTGGACAAGACTTCATCTTTGCAGCTGGAAGAGCTAACACAAGACAACATTTCACATCAAATGCAAAAAGCTCAACAGCTGCAGGAGAAATGCCTTATCCCAATGGCTCTCCCAGCCTGGACCATACAGAACAGTTTTGGACAAACACATTCTGATCTTGTGAAGCCAAACAATGAGATCCATATATATTTTATTTATTTTCTACAAGTTAGAACCCAGATCTAACAAGTCATATTACAAACAGTAAGGAATCTGAATACAGTAAATGCTTCTAAAACTACTGGCTCCTCCCTATATCAGGAAGTGCCTGGGGGCAATCACAGCTTCCAACAGCCATTCAGGTTTTGCCCAAGAAGTTTACTCCAGGAGTCCTGAGCGAAGGAAAGTACACTGGTAACATACTGCTCTGATGACAGAATGTATGTTTAGACACTCTCACCAGTGCAGGACGTTGGTCAGAGACCATAAACCTTCGCTGCTCTGATCAAAACAGAAAGTAGCAGAGTCCACTCTGCAGACTGGGTCAGAGGCCTACAGTGCCCAAGGCATGTGGCTCTGAGCTATGGGCTCAAAGCACTTTGCAGTCACAGGGTGTAGAAAACATTTATAAAAAGCTAAGCCAGGAACTTTTTGTTTTCATATTCTCGAATTTTATTGAGCAGAAATGTTTGAGGATAGTTTATTACTTTTACCGGCCACTCTAAAATGGGCCTCCAGCCAACCAGGTCTTTAAAATACGTCTATATCTTTTAAAACAACATTAAGGAAGTTGTATAAGTTTTACATTGGAGTCTGAGTGACTTAGCAGCAAAAGGGACACATTTCAGCTGTAACACAGGCATGACTTCTGCAGCAGCACCTGCTGCACTTGGTACTGATCCTAAGGCAGGAGAGAGACATACAAGAGTTAATTAACAGGCATTTAACTAGTGGCAAATCCCAGAAGGCTGAAATTCAGGTGTAACAGTATTACTGCATGAGAATTCAAACTGTGCATTTACCAGCTGAGGGAGGAATTTGGTGCTCTATTCATAAAGTACCAACACTTGGAGCTGAACAGAGCTTGCTTCCTAGTTTCTACCATCGCTATCAATCAACTGGGAAACTGATCCAAAAGTTTGTAAACAACGCATGTTTACAAGATGGATTTGTATACTCTTACATTTGTAAACACCACGGTGTTTACAAATATAGTGAGGAGGACCCGCACTTTTTTACATGTGACAGGCACACAGATACAAAAAAAGCCAGCACTGATTTAAAATCCTGCCTGCCCTTAATTGATTTGCGTAACCTGGATTCACGCACTTAAACTGATTTTAGTACACCTGGACTTCCAAGAAGAGGGAGAAAAAAGATGAAGCAAGAAGAATACACTCTACATTAGGCCTTGAAAGCTTCAATTAAAATTCAATACTGTGCTTTTGTATAGAGGTTCTTAACATGAAAACCCCATCATGGTTAAGATTTAAGGTTAACCAGGTTAATAGAGTCCAATAAAATAGCTCTATTGAATTATGCCAAACCATTGTCATGAGCCACACTAAAACCTGCTGCTCGACTTTACCTGTCTATTGGCTAAACCGACTCACAGTAATGTGCACCCACTTCTCATCAGCCAGAAAACCCTCCCATAAACTAAGCTTCGAACTCTTTCTCCGCTTCTTAAAAATAAAAAAAAAAAAATAGTAATAAAGTTCATGTATTTGCACCTTAAAAGGGTTTCTCTCCTCCAATCTGCTGCTCTAGCCACCGCAGTCATGTGTTAAAACCTGCCAAGTCCCACTCATCCCAGACACACTTCCCTAAACTTGGGATATGCTTTGCAAACTACATTTAAGCAACTCCTCAGCTGCAAAGCAGTATGTCCCACGGCATTTTTAGCCTAAAATACTGAAACTAAAATCTACATATTTCATAAAACTTAAGCATTCTTAATGGTTTTTGGTTTTCCTTCTATAAAGCACGATGCTATGCCAAAGCTAAGGCACGTTTTTCCAGGTAGTTTCACCAGCAGAACTGTTTGCATGCACTAACATTTTGACGCTGGGAGCTTACATTAAAGCAGTTACATTCCATTTAACTGCTTAAAAAAAAAAAAAAAACCAAAAACGCAAAGCAGCCGCTGGACGCGAAAGCAAAAAACCAAAAGGTAAAAACAAGAGTATCAGCGCGGAAGGGCGCTTTAAACACTGAGGGGGCCCGGGGCGGCGCAGCCCGAGCTCCCCCAGCAGCACCTGCGGGGCCAGGCCCGGCCAGGCCGCGTTCCGCCGCCCGGGGATGGCCGGGGGCAGGGCCGGGGGGAGCCGAGGGGACCCGGCAGCCCCTGCCCGCCCTGCCCGGCCCGGCAGCCATGTTGGGGCGGCCTGGAGGCGGCACCGGGGCTGCCCGGGGGGACGAGCGGCCCTGACTCCCCCCAGCCAGGCTCCATCCCAAGGGGTCCACCCTCCGCAGGTGCCGGAGCCGCGGCGGGCGGAGCCGGGTCCTCTGGGCTCCCACTCGGCTCCCCCCTGCCCGGAGCCCCCTCTCCACGCCGGTCCTGCCGAGCGCCCGCCCCGCTGACCCCTTCCCTCCCTCCCGGGCTGGCGCGGGCGGCCCCGCTGCTCACCCCACCCCGAGGGCGCTCACCTCCTCCTCTTCCTCCTCCTCCTCCTCCTCTTCCTCCTCCTCCTCCTCACTCCCGCCTGGAGACCGTCGGCACCGACGCGCCGCCGTGCCGGCCCCTCCCTCGGCTCAGAGCCGGCCCCCCCTCCCGCCCCGCCGCCCGGGGACCCTCCCTGCCCGCGGGGAGAGGGGACCCGCCACCCGGGGGGCTCCCACGGGATGTCCCGGCTGATGGAGCGGGGCTGGTGGGGGGGGTGAGGAGAAGGGAACCTGAGCGAAGTGATGCGGAGGGGGAAACAAACCGTGCGAAGGAAGCGAGGAGACACTCAGGAAGAGTTTGGGAGGGGTGGAAGGGGTAAATAACGAGGAGTTGTTCGCCAGGTGGGCTAAATAAAAAAAATTAAAACCAACGATTTTCTGGGAGAAGCAGCTGAAAAGAGTGAAAATCAGGGCTGTTACCGGTTAGAAATGAGTAGGAGGTGTGTGTTTTTTCCTTGGCTCAAGCCTTCTCAGGTGGTGCTGCTCCTGGGAGAGCTGGGCAGGTGTTATCATAGAATCATCACAGAATCACAGAATAGTTTGTGTTCGAAGGGACCTTTAAAGCTCATCTCAGTCCAACACCCCTGCTATGGGCAGGGGCACCTTCCAGGTTGCTCCAGGCCCTGTCCAGCCTGGCCTTGGACACTTCTAGGGATCCAGGGACAATTATAGCCTCTCTGGGCAACCTGTACCAGGGCCTCACCACCCTCACAAGGAAGGATTTCTTCCTCATATGTAATCTAAACCCACTCTCTCTCAACTTGAACCCATTCCCCCTTGTCCCATCGCTACGTGCCCTTGCAAATAGTCTTGCCCCATCTTTCCTGTAAGTTTCCTTAAGGTACTGGAAGGCCACAATTATGTCACCTCAAAGCCTTCTCTTTTTCAGGCTGAACAATCCCAATTCTCTCAATCTTTTCTCATAGGAGATGTGCTCCATCCCTTAGATCCACTAGGTTATCATTCCAACCAGGTGTATCAACCCTCTTTTTGGCCACAGTGAATGGCAGACCTCTCCAGGAAAACTTTTTCAGAAGAGAAATGTTTTGTCACACTGACTCAGTTTAGCGTGGTGTTATCTCTGGTATGTAGACATAAACTTTTTTTATTTTTTTTAATAGGAAGTCAAAATGAGTAACATCTAATGGAGTGACAAAGCAAAATTTCCACAGAGTACAGCTGTGAGAAGCATCAACACCAGTAACTTGAGGAGTTATGTATTTTTTCCTGCTCTGGCTAGTCAGTGATTATGAAAGAGTGACGAGAAGGCTGATTTGCATAAGAAATACCCTCAGGACAATGCGGAGTTTTGTTTCACGAGTTTTTAGGTTCCAAAAGCCTAGTAAAGTTGTTTTCCAATAACTTTCCACTGTCCTGCACTTTCGAATTCCTGACTGTCAAGATATGGAAATGCCAGAATGTCACAAGGCAGACAGTTCTTCCTGGGTTTTACCTAGGCAGAAGTGATAAAACCTGAAAATCTTTTAATATTTATTACACACCTTATAAATAATTTTGTAAGATCGTGTCTTTCAAACGGGGTGACAGATGAGGAGACCTTCAGTCTGGCTGAATAATTTGCCCCCAGCGTGTGCTGGAACACAGACAAACAGGATGTTTTAACCCCAACTTATTGATAGAAAAATTGAGGCAAGGAAGTGAAGGCATTTATTTTTCAAGCGTAAAAGTGCTCATTTGTAAGCAGGCAATTTAGGCTCGAACTTTTTTTTCCCCTTTTTTTTTTTTTTAGGAAAAGGACCGTGTATATACAGTTCCCATTAAAATTACACTTGAGGCACCCAAGCAGAAAGACTTTGGCCATACTCTTTTGGGGTCCTGCAGCCCTAATCCCATGTTCTAATTGGCCAGTAATCTGTGGACAGATATTGTAACAGTTCCTTTAGAATATTTTTCTACTTCTTGCTCATTTGCATACTAATGGCATAAAAATAGGCACTTCCTGCCAGTAATTAGTTAGAGCCCAGAATTTAAAGAAAGAAAAACACCACAGCATTATGGTAGACGGATGGTACTGAGGAAGCTGCAGAAAAGAGTCACTTCTCTGGTGCTCAGAGAATGCCTTTAATTTAGAGTTCAAGGCTGGCAACTCTGTTACCTCTGTGTAACAGGGATTAACTGTTTGCTTGGCCTAATAACTTTGCCTCTAATGAGCCTCCCTAACTTTTTTCATGGCAAATCACTCGATCTGTCCTGCACCCAGGCTTGCTGTTGTAAAACTGTAAAATGTTTTTCTTTTTTTGCCTTTTTCCCAGAAAGAATAACGCTGGAGGTGAAGTCTGCACTGTGAGCAGAGTTCCGTGTGGATCACCGGGACTCGGACCATCACAGAGGCTGCTCAAAGGTTCTTCACCTAATGAGGCACTGTGAAACTTATATTACATCAGGTCATATGCAAGTTCTAGGTTTAAAGAGCCCTTTAAGAGCTGGAGAGCTTTGGATGTACATAAGGGGTTGTTTGACCTCTCAGGTATAGGCCATAGACTTGAGTGCAAACCAAACTGGTGACAGCTAGAAATGTTCCTCTTCTGACAGCAGCATAGGAAGCTTTTAGTTAAGAAATCACAGAATCACAGAATGGTTTGTATTGGAAGAGACCTTAAAGATCATCCAGTTCCAATTAACTTGAATGAGAGAGTGAAAGTTTATTTTGCTGCTTTCATTCCCCTGACTTCTGGAGATCCTCAGTACATGGAGCTCCTGGAGAGGGTTCAGCAGAGGCTACAGACAAAATTAAGAGACTCTCTGTTACAAGGAAAGGCTGAGGGAGCTGGGCCTGTTCAGCCTGGAGAAGGGACACTGAGAGGGGACCTCATCAATGTCTGTCAGTGTCTGCAGGGAGGGGGCAGAGGATGGACCAGGCTCTGCTCAGGGATGCCCAGCAATGGGACAAGAGGAACGGGAAGGAACCGATGCCCAGGAAGTTCCACCTGAACATGGGAAAGAACTTCTTTCCTGTGCAGTGACTGAACACTGGAACAGATCACCCAGAGAAAGTGTGGAGCCTCCCTCACTGGAGGTATTCCAGACCCACCTGGACACAATCCTGTGCTGTGTGCTCTGGGATGGTCCTGCTTGAGCAGTGAGTTTGGACCAGGTAACCCACTGTGTTCCCTTCCAACCTGACCCATTCTGTGATTCTGTGAGATAAATATTACAAATTATGTTCTCCAGGGCTATCAAACTGACACCTTCAGCAAGGAATTAAAAGGAGAAACTCTTCCCATGGTGTTACTTAGAAAAAATTTCAGCAATTACTGTTTGCAATCTATGATGAGACAATACTGATCTCCAGCCATGCAATCTAAAAGCTCATGAGATGAATCTGGAATCTGCAGTTCATTATATACCTTTAACTTATTTACCTATTTCAAGAGCAAAGTAATTATTAAATGTATTAATACATGGACTGTAACTATTAGTTTCTTTAAAGCCGCTGCTCTCAAAGAACCATGGGATGCAGCAGTGAATGTTTGGTCTCCTGAATGGGATCCAGAATCACAGAATGATTTGTGTTGGAATGGACCTTAAAGATCATCTAGTTCCAAGCCCCCTGCCATGGGCAGGGACACCTTCCACTATCCCAGTTTGCTCCAAGCCCCATCCAACCTGACCTGGAACACTTCCAGGGATGGGGCAGCCACAGCTTCCCTGGGCATCCTGTGCCAGGGTCTCACCACCCTCACAGGCAAGAATTTCTTCCTAATATCCCATCTAAACATGACCTCTTTCAGTTTCAAACTCTTTCCCCCTTTTCCTGTCACTCCAGGCCCTTGTCCAAAGTCTCTCTCCAGCTCTCTTGGATCCCTTTAGGCACTGGAAGGAGCTCTAAGGTCTTCCCAGAGCCTTCTCTTCTCCAGACTGAATAGCTCAACTGCCAGCCTGTCTCCAATAGCAGAGGGGCTCCAGCCCTCAGAGCATCTTTGTGGCCTTCTCTGGACACCCTCCAGCAAGTCCACATCCTTCTGATGTTAGGATGAATCAAAGTTAGGTATTTACTTAGACCTTCTAGGGAAAGCCTGGAGAGAATTTATGCTCTTCACAGATATGAAATAGCTGCCCCAAATTAAGCCAACATACTCACATTCCATCAACACAACTCTGAGTACCTGAGCACTCTCGAGGGAGTGGTCAAGCAGTTGGGGTGACTCTCTGAATGACCTGTGAGACTGTGATTACAATGAAAGACTGCAGTGTGGAGAGGAAGCTCCTGCATCCCTTTGACATTCACCACCTAAAGTCTTTTTCCAGGGACAGCCTGTGTAAGCAAGGCCAAGATTTGAATTGCAGCCTAATGGTTCAAGCATTTGCAAAAAAAAAATGGGAGATTTCAGTTGAAATTAAAACTAGGAATTGGTAGGAATTTAAAACAGTGTCTCTGTTGTCTCGTGATGGGCTCTTCTGTCCTGGGTCAAGAGGTGGAGAAAGGAATGAAACTTTGGGGGTGAGGCTGATGCTACCTAGTGACAGTAACCCTGAGTTTACACCTCGTTGGTCCAAGTGCTCAGTGGGAAGCATCCTCTTGGTTTCAAACTTCACTAAAAAAAAGCCTTTTCCACCTTTCTTACACCTTTTTATTTCCCTTTCCTTCCACCCATCCCACTTTGTTGCTAATCTTAATGTCAAGCATGTATGAAACTCTCTATTACGTTGTGCTGAAATGTGAAATTGTGTCACTTTTTTTTTTTTATCTTGAAAAACAAACCTTGTGAAGCTTGTATCCAGCAGAACTATAGTGCCAGAAAGTATTTTCCTGAAAACTTTGAGGCTGTAGCTTATTAAAGCACAGATCCTTGAGATGATTGGGTCTATTCCATTAGTAGATTTATAAAGTGTGCAGACTGGATAAACAACAGTGACAGCTTGGGGAAGTGTATGCACCTGTTTATTAAAAAGACGTTAACAAGGGCAAATCTAAAATAAGAACATGTACCACAACCCAATTTTCAGCAAATTTTTATGCATGCCTACACTTAAGGTTACCAATGTTATTGGCAATTTCTCTCTCTCTTTTCTCTCTCAGAAGTACACGGCAACTGATGAGCACGGAGCATCTGTGGCAAAGGAAAAAAACACCGTCTTCAAATTTTGAGGAGCAAACATGACCCTTTCTGTTTCTACTGTTTCCCACCCACATTCAGTTAGTGTAAGAGAAGAAGGAAAATGAGGGGAAAAAAAAAAAAAGGCAGAAATATTTTCTTTGCAGGGAAGGACCAAAGAATGTATTATTTTCTCAGTCACAAGCAAGAACTTTCATCACCTCTGCTTTCATTTTGCTCCATATCATAAGTGACAGGGAATTTTTTATATATTACTGGTGTAACTTAGAAGAGGTCACATGTCTAAAAGTTCTCCTGCAGGAGTCTTCTTTTGGATATATGCAAATTTTACAGTGCTTATGCCACTTGTAATTTGGAGATAGGTATAAGCAAATGCATATGCATATGCAAAATGGAGATTATGTGTGTATATGTAATTTTGCAGAATTAATCAACCAAGAATGTACAAAAACTATAAATGCTTTGTTGAAATTTGGTTCAAAAAAGATTTATGAATTATCCTGCTATAGCAGCTTTCACTCGATGCAAAATGCACTTTTTTTATTAATAAGTAATAACTTATGAGATTTACATGATAATGGGGCTTTAAGCAACCTGGTCTAGTGGAAGATGTCCCTGCCCATGGCAGGGAGTTGGAATGACATGGTCTTTAAGGTCCCTTCCAACCAAAATGGTTTAATGATTCTATGATAATATTATTGCCCCAGAATAGCATTTTAACAACATATCCCAATCTTGAGAGGACCTGTTAGTACCTATGTTTATTCACAATTGCTGTAGTGCTGCTTTTTAAAAGTATAAAATGCTGCCAGCCTGGAATCCCTCCAGGATTAGATCTTAATCCCCAAAGATACGTAAGTGCTCCCATCTCCTTTCTAGGGATTGAAAGCTGGAAACTGCACGGATAAACACATGCAAGTTTATATGTAAGGTTAATAATGGAGTAAAGAATTAAAATTTAGCCTCCAAAATTTTCAAGTGTATTGTAATGAAAATCACAAACTCTTCTTGGAGTCACCTTTATGTCGGTAGTTGATATGAATATCTTTGAAGACAAATCAAAGCCCTGGGCCTGACTGTGTCCTGTGTTCCAGTGTATGGCCAGGGTATGGTATACACCCCTCAAACACATTTGATTACTTCTGTTATCATGAACTGAAGCAAAGGGTCTTTGAACAGTTCTCACAATTCAGAAGGGGAAAAAAAGCAGTGTTTTACTTCAGTATACCTTTTACTAGAGCGGGGTACAATAGGATGTGATTATTTTAGGAACATTAAAAATATCTACTATCTTCCTCCCATGCTAGGTAGAATAGTCTGAAGTAGTTTTGCTTTGTAATTTTCTCAAACGAAGAATTCTGACTTAACCAAACCTCTTCAAAAGGAAGCTGGCTGATATTATCTTACTTCCCTCTTTTCTTATTGTGGAATTGTTGAGAGAATGCCAGTTGTTACTACTTGTCATCACAACTTTCTAGTCCATAATATTGCTCGTTAAAGACAATAAATATTAACCAGCAGACTACTTAAAAACTGACCAGCATGCAGAATTTGAGTGCTTAGGTAATAACACGACGACATTATAAATCTGGGTTTGCCTTCATTATTTAATTGCACACCCACACATGCACACACACATAAATTATACCTTCTAAAAAACAATTCTCCTTTATTTGTCTTTGCGATGTTTGTTCAGCGAATTTTTTAGAGTTTTTTTTTATTTCTTGGATGTTAAACTATAGCAGGGAGTGAACATCTCTGCTTCTCTTTCAGGGGATCGCAGCAAGAGTCGTGCACACAAGGTGTTGCCAAAAGTGGGAAAAATGGGGATTGCAGGATGAAAAACCAAGGTTAATGATTGCTAAGATAATGTTGACTTCAAACAGGCCTGTTTTGTCCCACGTGCATGGGAGTAAATGTGCATAAGGTACCATGTTGGCTGAACTGGGTGAATGGATCCGGAGGTCCAGAAGAGAATGGATGCGTTGAAGGATCCGCACAGGTTTCAGAGCTGCACGGTGCTCACTCGCTCTGCCAGGCATGAGCTAATGTACAGCTGATTCCTCTCTGGGGGATGCTTTGATTCTGGGTTTCAAAGGGGACCCTTTCAGTATTCCTAATGATTTTTTTGGCTACAAAGCTTTATAGAGCGTTATAGAGTTGCTGGGGACTCTGACACCGAAGAAACGTAGAGTTAAGAGCTGTAGTAAAAGACTTCATACCACTGCTGCCCACTACTCAAAAAGGCAAAGGTATAAGTACACAAAAAAAAAAAAAAAAAAAGAAAAATTCAAGCTCAGATTAACAAAGCTGTTTGCTATTATGGACAAAAGCTGCAGGGAAAAAAAAATGAAGAGGAAATGGGCTGTATTACTGTGAGTTGGCACAGAAACGAAATACCAGCCTGCAATTTATGTATAGTAATTGTTCACGAAGCATTCTTTGGGTTTTGATAGTGACTCATTGTGTTCTTTGTGACCTTTGATGTACAGGATGGGCTGCTAGAAGACAGAGGAAGCCACGGTAAGAATATAAAACTTTATTAACTTAAGATTTTGTTGGTTTGTTTGCTTTTTTTTAATTATTGCTCATTGGTAGGTATTATCTCTGGAAAAGTCAACCAGAGGCATTTTACCTTGAGTCCTCATGGGTTTTGCCATGTCTCCCAGGCTTTTGTAGTTGAACAAACAGTTGAAAAATAGCTTTGGTTTTAAAAAGGAAATTTGTTAAACAATTGGTTGCTGACGTTGATTACTGACTTCTGAAAAATAAGATAACTGATTGCAATACTATTGTGTTTATAGCCCAGGTAATGAGCAGTTGAAGCCCTGCACTACACAGGACAAACAGAAAAGTTATCAAGAAGACATTCTTCTGAGTGAATATTTTAGATTTTAAAGAAAATTATGGGAAAAAGCTTCCACGAAGTCATCAGGGTAGACACAACAGACTCTTCAGGGCCGTTAAGTTCCATTATGTAAATCCACAGTGATGTAAGCCAGACACTGTCAAGTTTGATACGCCCCAAATTTGACCTAATTAGCCATTTGGTTGTTACTTTTTTCAAAGCTTGTGCAACTCGGCTCGGTTCAGGATATAGATGCTAATTGAACACATAACCTACAGGTGCTAAAGAATTCTTACAAAGGAAAGCCTATCCTATTAGGAATGCAAGTCAAGGCTCGGGGTCATCGGCTCGGGTGGTGGGGAAGGGGAAAGAAATCCTGTCTGTGGCTCTCTTCTCATCACCATGTTATTTCCAGGAGCGAAATTCAAATTCAGAATAAAGCAATGCAATCTAAGAGATATTTGCCAACTGAAGTCGCTCCAGCTTCAGGAAAAGAACATCTCTTTGAGCTTTTAGAAAGCTGAGACTATAAGATGCAAAGCCTGAAGTGGTTTATTCTACCCCCAGTAACAAGCACACTCCTGTACAAGTTGATATTTTCTGTTGTTCACAGGCCCACCAACTGATTTCTAGATACTTGCTGCCGTGTTCCAGGTTTGCCTTTCACCTTTCCCATCTCTGCCTGTGTGCCCCTAGCCTAAGATCATCACCTTTACACTCAGCTCTTCTTCCCACCCATTTTCCAGGCAGGAATACAATAACCTTTTGTCATGACTACACCTTGGCCCAGATGCTGCAGTGTAAACACTCTATCTCTTCTGCTACTTCCCCACAATCCTCTAACCAAAATGAAACGAGATAAAAAGAGCTGCACAGCCTCTGAGTTTCCTGGCTTTTATCTTTTTATACCAAAGCCTTTGTGATAATTTTGCATAGCTATTTTTACATGAGGAATAATATCCTGAATTACTGCTGTCACGTGCATTAAGAATCCCACCTCACCATCCTCAAGTCATCTGGCAACCTGATAGTGTTTCCTGCTCCTTCCTTCACATCAGCGCTGCAAAGAGCTTTGCTAAAAGTTTCACATCTGAAAAAGCAGATGATTTGGCAACACCTTCCTATAGATTTAAAAAAAAAAAAAAAAAAAAAAAAAAAGAAAAAAAGAAATGTGCCTGTCTTTGAGTAAACTTTTCTTTCCAACTGCTTTTTTTTGTCAGCCTGCCAGCTCGACTTCTAGTATTGTTCTGCAGAGATTGCTGCAAGGAAAAATTAAAGAGAAGAGAAAGGTAGAGAACTGGGGGAAAGGGAAAAAGGGTTCAAAGGGCATTTAAAGCCTGGGGAGCCTAACATGGAACGGGAGATAGGCTTAGGAAACAGGGAATAAAATGGTGGAATGAGAGATAAAACAAGAACATAAAGGATAAGGGATTAGAGAGATAAGGAGTTCAAGAGATGAAATGTGAATAAAGGAAAACAAGAAAAATAAGGATGAAAGGAAAGAAGTGACAGGAGTAAGACATGTAAACAATTAACTAAGAAAATATTCTGTTTATTTTAGTGAAAGAAAATTATAGCATCTTTATTATTCTCTGGTTTACTAGTTCAGAGGAATTTTTCAAACTAAGAGCTGACACTTGGGTAGTACTACTGAACAATGATAAATATAAACCTTCCAGTTGTTGAATTAACCCATTCTGAATTTGTTTAATTAATATGACATTCAGAGAGCTAAAATTTGGATAAGAAAAGCAACAAACATATTAACAACTGCAATACAAAGTGCAGATCTGGAAGAACTCTTCCCAGGCAGTTACATCCATCAGCTCAGCAAAAATCACTCCAGCACAGTGACATGCTGCTGCAGATTAATACCAGAGCTGAATAGAGCAAAAATACTTAAAACCAGTGCTGGGTTCAAGTTTCAGCATTGCCCACTGACCAGCAGAAAATTGCTCAAGATCAACATTTGTCTGTAAAAGTATTTCACAATATTTTTCCCCATCAGGATATTTATTATAAAGTGTTATCAGGTCTCAGTTTCTGCCTGAACTCTTCACACAGGTCACATAATGTGGTGGAACCTTGATAACATTGCTTGTTTTCCCTGAATGTCTGAGCATGTATCATCAGGAAGCTGAAATTTTGTCAAATCCACACTGATTTTTTTGGGGTTTTTTATTTCTCAGAAAGTATATTACATATACTCATATACTTAAAATCTAAAGGCAGCATAAAAAAAATCAACATTTTTTCATTAGTTTTTCTGCTTACCTCTGACAAGAAGTCACCAAGCATCTTATTAGCTAATTAGCCATCATCCTTCCCTTTTCATTACCCTTAAACTTGCATAAAATAGATCTATAAGAAAGATATTCCTTCAGGTCAGTTCCGTGGCTTATAAACCCTAGAGTCTGGAAAAGGGGGGGAAAAAGGTGTCCTTTTCCTGCCTGTGAAGCTCCAAAGGTTTCTGAGCAGGTCTCAGGCTGTTGTGAAGGTTTTTGAAGACACAGTCAGGGTGTTGCATATCCCTTTTCCTCATATTTGATGGGACAATCCCCCAAGAGGATTTATTCCTCCAGAGCATCCACAGAGAAGAGACAAGGAAGTCTCTAACAAGTGCTGGTCCCAGTTCTGGTGCCATCCAGCCCTGTTAATTCTGTCAGAGGGAGAGGAAGATTTAGATATTTGTTTCAGTACAAATCATGAGTTAGTCACTGGAAAACTGGATTTGCTTAAAAGCAGAAAACCACATTAAAACAACCCTAAAACAACCCTGTTCTAACCTTAAACTAACCCTAACTAAGCAGCATAAAGCACCAAATAATCACAGTAAGTAGTTGTGTCTTTACAGAAGAACTCAAGCCCTAGGTCCTCTCCTGAAGTACTTGAGGTGCTACAATAAGAAACCACCAGTAACAAACAGCAATTTAAACATTACATTCTGTGAAGTCTTGGCTTGCCAAATGCCTGAATGAAAAAGGATGTGAAAGATGGTCTCCTTCATTCTAATTCAACCCAGAATCTCAGATTATCTGTTAAAAATAGGACATTTTCTCTAATAATAATAATTTTCCATAGACAGCTGTTGATGTGCCCATAGGTTCACAATAGCTCTTTTTGCAGTGGGTTGTAATAACAATTTCTTCAACTCTGTCTTTGAATTCAGAGCTGTACAATCTATTCACAGCGAACACTCTAATCAGTGAATTTCAGCTTTTATTCTGCCCGTAGATTGTTGCAAATGCTACACACAGACATTTGATATAAATAAACTTTGCCCCGGCAGTTGGTTCACAACATGTTTTCGCTGCAGAGTTTCAATATCCATTATTACCATTGCACAACTCTCACCTTGGCTGAGCAGTGCTGTTTGTTCTGGGCAAAACCAGTCACCAAGAGGAAATCCACGCCATGGGGCTGTGATGGTCCGATGGATAAGGTGTGCATGGTTAAGTTAGGAGGAGCAAGATCACAAGGCTAAAGAGGTTTTCAGGACTATTTTAATATTTCCTTTCCAGTTCCCTTGACTCAGACCTTGCTTGTAACATCACTGTGAGAACAAAGAGGCCACTTGAACGTTACAGACTTGAGGTCAAATTGAAAATTAATGATCTCTTATCACATTCAGACAAAGCTCCAGCTGCAAAGGGTGGGGTTGGGTGCTTTTCTGGTGTATTTAATTGCCACTGAATCAGGGCTCTGAACAGGGCTTGCCTAGTCAGAGCTGCAAAAGATGAGCTCACATGGCATTTTCCAAGTCCCTCAGCTGTGCCCACACCAGAGCCTGGCCTGGCAATCCTTTACATGGCTGGTGTCTTCGGTGAGAGCAAACGGAGTGCGAGTTTAATATCTTAATGAAACAAATGTCAGGCATTTGTTTTATATGAATAAAACATCTTTGGCATAAACCGCGGCGAAAAACAAATTCCAAAAAGGTTGTAAATCAGAATTCAGCTTTCAGTGCGCTAAAATGTGTGTGTGAAAAATTATGCTGAGGAGCCAGCTCTATCTAAACTAAATCGTTTGGCAATGCCCTGTCAGCGCAGGAGAAAATGGATGTAATGTGCACATATGCACAAGGAGTGACTCACAATGATGTACAAGTGTTACTGTATCTACTCCAAAAGAAATACCTGGAAGTCAGGAAATATGGCTCCACGGTTCAGCAGATTTTTCTGAGGATAGATGTTCTGGTTTTGAAACTCTGGTTTTCCCCCAGAGTGCTGTAAAGATGTCTCATGCAAACAAATACAGTCTGGGTCAACCGATATCTCTGGGACTATTGCACAAACTATAGTTTTATTTGGTATTTATGGGAGAAGAGTTTCAGGAGAAAAACGTGCCTTGCTGGCAGCTTAAGGACTGAACAGTAGATTGATATCTGTAGGTCCTGAAGCAAGACCTGTAGCCTAAACACACACACATTAATCTATATGTAAGTCCAGGCAGTTCCTTAAGTAGTCATGACAGTTTAATTGCCTATGAATATTCATATAAATGAGCTTTGTTTGGAAGAAGGGCAGCAGTCTTGACTACTTGTACCAATCTGTATTCAAGCGGAGAAATCATCTGAAGTCTCCAGTTTCCTGTTTATAAGAGTTTGGGCTGCCCAGACAAAACACAGCAGCAGGAACAATAGCACAGGCCTTGGATGACTCTTACAGCACCTCTGAGACTGGGAAGGTAACATCACTCCAAGATAAAATCATAGTGTTGGAGCTGGAAACCTCAAAATGATCTGGTGTGTGTTTGTGAAGTCGGTGCTCAAATGCACAATGAAATGGCACCGTAGAGTCTTAAATGGTTTGGGTTGGAAAAGACTATCTAGTCTGACTCCCTGCCATGGGCAGGGACACCTCGCACTATCCCAGGTTGCTCCAAGCCCCATCCAACACGACCTGGAACACTTCCAGGGATGGGGCAGCCACAGCTTCTCTGGGCAACCTGTACCAGTGCCTCAGGATCCTCACAGCCAAGAATTTCTTCTTAATATCTACCTGAATCTACCCTCTTTAATTTAAAGCTGTTATCCCTTTGCCTGTCACTACAAATCCTATTAAAAAGTCTGCTCTCATCTTTCTTATAAGCCCCTTTAAGCACTGAAGGGCCACACCCTTACCCATCCCATACACCCTACTCTATTTTACTGTTAGTATACATAAATTGAAACACATCCTTGGGTCAGCTACTGTTAGTCTGTTGGTCCTTGAAGGGGTTTGCTGGCATAGCCTGCCCTTTGGAAACCTTCCAGAAGGGAAGAACATATTTTCCCATAGACGGTGTTGGGTCCTTGCGTTCATTTGCTGGAAAGAAGTCCAGCTCTGTCAGGTGCAGTGATTGAGGTTTCTTGGAAAACTCTGATGAGGAGGCTTGAGATGAGAAGACAGAGAAATGATGGAGGACCCTGCCAGAATAGCAGGTCAGATATAGCTCTCTTGGTCACCATGGTGAAGAGGGATTCAGCTCAAACAGAGCAGCAGACTGTCTCCTGCTCACTAGACTGTGATGCTCCAGTTCATCCTACTGAAGGGCATCTGTGAGACAGTGCTGAGCACCACTCAGGAGCTATTACGTAGTAGGCTGCAGTGTTGACAAATGTTTTCAATTTTTTTCTAAAGTGCCATTTATATCTGACTTTCCCATGTTCTTCCCTGCTGCTACCCCAGTGTAAACAGCGCGGGGTCGTACAGGAACCACTTTCCCTCTTTCCAAAATCGTATTGCTGGGGATCTGAGGATGACTAATCTCTCCTGTTTACAGTCTGCTAGCTGTTTGAATCCTAACATAACTTAGATGACAGGGTTTGGGAGACTAAAGAATTACATGTTGCCAAGCTACTAAGGAAAATCTAAAAAAGAAAAGACTTTTCATGAAGTGTTTGGTAATTTCCCTCACTCCCTGAAACATCACAGCCTGTAGTTCTGCTACCCTGCTCTTCTCTCTGTGTTTAAGAAATGCCTGATATATTCACCTTCCCCATGTAAGACCAGTTTCCAAGATGCCTATGAGAAGATGAAGAAGAGGAGGGAAGCAGAGATAGTCATTTAATCGTGCCCTGGACTCACTAGCCTTTAAACAACTGTGTTGGTATGGGAGATTTTCTACAGAAATTCCCAGCTTGGTTATCTAGTCCCTTCTCCACACCTGTAGCATCTATATATAACCCTCATGCATACATACATACATATATATATATATATTTAGAACCCAGCTGCATGTTCACTAGCTGCCTTCATAA